AAAATGCACGGATTATGATTATTATTATTCCCACTCCGATCAGGGCACTAGGTCCACCGTTTCCCCGCAGCGAGGCTCCTCCTGTTGACAGTTTACGTGGGCTGGGCTGGGCTGGTTGCAGTGGCGGACTGGCCATCGGGACGAATCCCGATGGGCCGGTACCGAAGTGGGCCGGTCGGATAAATCACTACCACATCCCCCACTCCCCCCGTTGACAATTTACTAGTTGTACCGAAGTGGGCCGGTCGAGAGTCCCGGGCTGATTTTTAGTCCCAGTCCACCACTGGCTACATGACCGTATGATCGCCCATATTGACGCACCTAAACTTCTAACAGATACAAAATAAACCGATCCTTCAGCCTCATATGAGCTCTCAGACACGTTCAAAATTAAACTGTCATCGCTGTCTGAGCTTGCTGCTGTGTGCCCCATCGTGCGTTTACATGCAGATGCTGGGATCCTGAACGGTGCAGCTGGAGCGCTGTGCCCGCATTGACGTCACCCATAATTTGGCGGGACTTGAAGAATCCCCGAGAAGATCCAGGAAATGGTCAACATTGAAGGGCAGATTAATGGTTATCAAAGTACAAATATCCAAAATCAGTTCAGTAACGGTTTTCAAGGGGACAATATTTACTCAAATTGATGGGTTTGGATGATGGGGGAAAATCGTGTCACAGGCTCTTTAAGACAGTGAGAGGGAGGGGCATGATCGGGTTTTGTCCCACATGGCTCTAAACAGCTCAATAGGCACACACTGTACTGTAGACACTAATTAGAAATACACATACTAAAACAGCAATGTACGGACGAATCAGATGATTAAACATTATCTTAAAATATATTTTATATCTTTTATTTATTTGTTGTAATCATTATTTGTAATACTTTCTGCTGACACTAGGTGGGGCTGTGTTTTGCACTGAGAACTGTACACTGTAAACAATACAACCTAGACACCATGACGTTTGAAAGAAAATCTAAAATGTGTGCCCTTTTAAAACATTCACTCACAGTTTATTGGATGTCAGACCCTTGTCAGTGGTTTCCAGGTGGCCCAAGATCAGTTATACTGTCATACAACAAGATTGTAATGAACATTGTTGATGTTTCAATATCCTTCTCATCAATCACTCAGTTACTACGGCTGAGAGACTTTCCTCTCATCAGTCTCACTGAGTTCCAGGTCTGGCAGGAAGGACGCAGTAGGGTCAGAGTCTCCCGCAGGACTCTTTTCCTCATCGTCCTCACTGTCTCCTGTACGGACAGCTGTAGTGACGGTTCATTCTCTTGAAGCACTCGGCCTTCTTCCACTCCTCTGTAATGCAATAGGGCTCCCCTGCCCGGTGGACAGAAAGTCAGGGAGGCAAGGGAATGAGGAGGATTTCCCCCTGAAATTATTCATGTTAATCCTTGCCTTAGGGAACGTTTTGAGACAAAAACATGGGCTAAATGTTTCAGTGCGGCAAAATATTAAAATACGGTCCCATTCTTTTCAAAATTGGGACTGCTTTGCAAGAATCTGCTACAGCACTATTAGCTGAGGAACCTTTGAACACGTTATCAACAAAAAAATATAGTTCCAAATCCTGAGAATAATCTGTTACAATGAAATGTAATGCCCTCTTTTTGACTGTTCAGTCACTTACACATATTGTAATGATTCACAACGGAGTAATAACATCTTCGAGACTTATCACAGGATGCAGCACTAATAAAAAAAAAAGAACAAGTAAAACAAAGACTCTGGCACTTAGAAACAAATGTAAGCCTTTATTGGAATTTTGCAAGGCATTAAATACACAAATCCCATTATTTTAATAATTTGGCATTTAATTATAAAAAACTTCTAGTCTAATACTGGTCTTACAGACGTTCTTATTTGTTTCATCTTTATAGCTCTTCTCTTTCACTGTATCACTGAGGTGGAATCCTGACATTGTGAAAGCAGATGGGAATTAAAAGTACTGTATGAAGAAGGGGGGACAGCAATGAGACGTGGGGAATAATAGGAGAACACCAACTCAAACTCAAGAAAATACTGCGTGTCAAAGCTGCATCGTGGGTTAAAACAGTCTTTCGTTGATATCTATTCATTTTTTACCCCTGATTTCCCAAGTTTTACATATAAAAAACTTTTGTATGAAATATAAACAAGCTCTTGCCGTGGTACACAGACATGTGCAGATAATAAAAGTAGACAATATTATGTTCTAAACTTGTCAATAATCTCAAGAGTCATGGGATCTGGCCTGGACTCGTGTTTGATAAACATAAATAATATGTTCTGCTGTCAGGAAATTACTTTCAATATTTGTATCAACATGCAAGTTCTCCACCAATGCTGCTTTATAGTCATCATAAACGTTATCATTATCACTCACTGCATGTTGCTCAACAGATCCAAAGGTTTTGGCTTTACGAACCATTTTCCCTCATTTTGACAAGAAAAAAAAACGGAAAGAAAGAAAATAGGAACATTCACAATACATTTCCAACCGGTCTGTGTTTGGTCTGGTCTCTCTTTTTATATTCTGGTTTCTCATCCCACACATCCAGAGCAGAATAAGTCATCAAAAGCACCTCCTGAGCCTGTCCTTAAACCGTCTAACGCCCCCCCAACCCCCAGAGTTAAGACATGACTCCGAACACAGGGTTGTGGCGGCAGATGCTCGGCCCGATCTCTTCGTAGTCCTTCTTGGTGTGGCACACCTGGTAGAATTCAGGCTGTGGAGGCAAAGCAAGATGAAGGTGAGCACACACAAGAGAACAGAAAGAAAACCCAGAAAGATCATTTACAGGGTTCCTGCAGGTTTCGCCAACTCAAATTTAAGACTTTTTAAGACCTTTTTAAGACCACTTTGAATATAATTTAAGACCTATTTCACGGCAATAAAGTATGAAGGAAAATTGCTATTAAAGAAGAAATACGTCCCATAATTACATACAAAGTAAATTTATTCATGTTCAACATAAGAACAACGACTGAACATAACAGCATAACAGTACACAGAACTATGTTAGCGTGTTAGACAAAAAGTGTCAATGTGTGTGTGTGTGTGTGTTAGGGCTGTGCAATTAATCGTATTTTAATCGCAATTATGATTTTGGCCTGCCACAATTACGAAAACAACATAATCGAAAAAAACGATTATTTTGCTTTGCTAGGTTGTGATAGTGCTACTAGAACATATTTTGATCTAATTAATTTTTGTCTAATTTATTTATCATATTTATATATGTTAAGTAGCTTGTGGAAGTGCGCTCCAAAATATTTGTTGATCTTATTTATTGGTATTTATTATTTTTATATTATTTATTTAAATATATCATTTATTTAATACATTTTTGAATTGGTTTTCCAGTTGAATTATACGTTCAGGCTAATCAACAGTTAAACAGATACTGTTCAAATTATTATTTGTTTTAAAGTTCAATAAATGGCTGTTTTCAAAGTCAATGAATAATTGTATTTAGTAATCATGATATTAATTATTGACCAACATAATCGTGATTATTGCCATAATCGAGCAGCCTGTGTGTGTGAGAGAGAGAGAGAGAGAGAGAGAGAGAGAGAGAGAGAGAGAGAGAGAGTGAGAGTGAGAGTGAGAGAGAGAGAGAGAAACAAGAGCTATATTCAGAGCTCTGCTGCCTTGGCTACACTATTTCATCGTTGCTGTTGTATAATTGGTGTTTAGCTATGGTATTTAGCGTCTACAGCACCTCCGCTTTTAGGGTTGACGTAGACCCAAATGTCGCCCGGAGGTCCCCCGGTGTTGTTGCGGGAGCTGCTGCACTAGCTAACGCTCCACTAGCTAACGCTACATTAGCCAAACAAACGCTAATCTCTTTTGCAAAAGGTGCAGCGGGCTTCAAACACGTTCCCCTCCACTGGTTTCAACCAAGTACTAAATTGGATGTTTTCCAACCAAATACGGTTGAACTGACACTTCCCCATATTAATTTGTAAGTAGATTCGAAGATACATGAGTTTCCGACTGCCGCTAGCTGAAGCTTGGTTGCTAGGTTACTAGCTGGCTGTTCTCCGATAAGGGGCCGGGGGAAACAAAGTTAGTGATTACTGGTTCCATGTTGATTTAATTCAATACAAATTGTTGGGGGGAACTGAAAGGCTCTTACCGTACTGGTTACTTTGCAGCCCGGACATTTCCCCCAAAACACATTTAGACGCTATCGCAACACAGAAATACCTTTCAAATCCGATCATTTTTAAGACCTTCTAAATCATATTTAAGACCTTTCTTATTTTTTTGGTCATATTTAAGACCTTTTTAAGGCCTTAAATTGAGATTATCAAATTTAAGACTTTTTATGACCCCGCGGGAACCCTGATTTAAAAAGCTGCATATATCTGCATATGTATCTTCTGCAGATGTTGTTGTTTTGTTTTGCTTAGGCCTGGAGGTTATTTTATTTATTATAAACAAAATGCTGCAGAGGGAAAACTGTCTTCGCCCTGCAGGATCTACTCAACTAACTGCAGTTCTATTGGAAAGCAATGTTAGAGTTACATTTAAATGTTGCTTTTCTACTGCAGCATACAGGTCTGCTCTGTATATTAAATTAAGTAAATATGATCTCTTGGCAGTCCTGTGTTTTTACTTAACATGAAAAAACAAGACTGATTTTAAGGTTAAGGTATGCTAAAGGTTAGGCAGCTTATTTCTAAAGAGTTGAACTTTGAATTAATTTTCTGACTCGAATAACTTCAACTTCCCGAGTCTATTTTCTTTTCTTTGTTTAATGACAGCACCCGGCATTAGAGACATACTGTATCTCTAGATGTAGCCATCTATCAATATAATGTTTTAACTGTTTTCATAAAGCTCAGATCTACTGCTCAATTCAATTACAGTACAACGATGGAACAGCATTGAAAGTTAAACAGGGCTCCACTTTTGTTAGAACACATTTTGTGGTAACCAGGCAACGCACGTCATTGGCCAATCATACACCTGTCCGCCCACTCAGAGGCGTGAACGCTAAAGGAGGATTTCTGATGCACTTCTGTCCTCTTTGCAAAATACTATAGGTATGTAACCTCCAAAAATACCTAAGAAATGTTTGTTGAGAACAAAACCAATCATGGTGACATAAACAATAAATGAAAAGGTAATGAATGACTTCTTTAGGTTCTCAAATATTTACTGACAATATTGTTGGAATTTTCTATACATCAAACTGCTTGGGTTTTGGGAGCTATTAATATAGGGCATAAAGTCCTGACTGAGAAACCTGGGAGCTGCTAAAAAGAGCAATTATTCTCATCAGGGAACAATTCTGTTCAATTCTAACATCAATTAGCCTTTTGTGGATCAACTGTCAGAAACCTTTGCTCAGTCATATTTCCTGCCGCTAAAATTATCAGCTTTACTCACACAAATAACCCATTGGGGGAGGGATAATGAACTGTCACGACCACCCACAGAATTCATTTTCACTCAGTAGGACTAAAATAAATGACACAGGAAATAAAGAGTGAACAAAAGTAGGGCCCGCCCTTCCATGTCACAGCAGATGAAAGCCATGGAGTTGGAGATTCTAAAAGTAGATGTGATGAAGTCTAACAGGAACATGTTCATAAAACAGTGATTGAAATACTTACAGTTGATGCTAACATTGATCCACCAAACCACACTGCATATCTCTGCATATGGTGAGTGATGAC